GGGGCTGAACCAATAGGCAAGTATAGTAAAGAGGCAAAATGGAGTCTGTCTTTGGGGTTTTTCTTTGACTCTATGCAATGCTCTTTTATATATTGATAATATTTTATTCATAATACTCTGTTACTGTGTTATGATGCCTGCCCTGTGGCCAATCTTGCCCTCTGCCCAGCCTCCAGATGTTTGCCTTCGTATAAAAACTCACCCATTTCTTCCAGGTCTCCTTCTTTGCTGGACTGAGAGAAAAGAATGGTGCAAATGGGTCATGTACTGCTGGGACAATGTTATCAGCTATGGTTCTGGCTGGTGAATGAATAAGATCATTCAGGCATTGGATATGGCTGCAAGCAGAGACAGTAGGCAAAGGGGAGAAGGCAGGGGAAGGAGGAGACAGGGAAATACGACCTTAGGAGGAATGTTAAATAGGCGCATGGAGCAGGAAGGCTGATGGAACAAGTGTGGCTCCTTAATGACATTATGCACATTAGAAAGGACAACTGGGAAACTGCCAGGGAACACTTGTCGAGAGTGTTCATGACACATTTAACTTCCTAAGCAGCTTGACCATGGGGCCAGCTGAGCCAAAAGAAAGGTTGAAGGTTAAAGGAAGGTATGAAGTCTGAGTCATAGCAGTGGCCAGATGGACCCCAGCTGGGCTGCTGCTGCTCTATCTCCAATATGGGGATATATGGACAGCTTTTCTGCCTCACTCACAGGCAGAGCAGAGCAGTGCAAACCTCCCAACAGGAACCATAAAGCTTGAGAGCAGGGTCAGCTCAATTATGACCCTCTCTCTTGTCCCCAAGCCAGCTACTTTTCACATTCCTGAGCCAGGCCTGCACCAGACCCCTGTTTAGACATGACCATACAGCCTCAGGCAGAGCCTTGGAAGGAAGCAATCCACATATCACACACTTCAGGGGCTACTTTAGGAGCCAAATATTTTCTACTTTCAAAAACGTAGATAGTGCTGAAGCAGAAAGAGTCTTTTGAGAGTATTCAACCTAGAGTTTCTCAAGTGTTATCAGAGAAACTTCTGCATCAGCATCATTTGCAGAGCTTGATTAAAATGCGGATTATCTGGTCCCACCCCAAACCCATTAAGTTACACTGTCAAGGGGTGAAGCCCAAGAATCTGCATGTTAAACTCCCAAGAGATTCCTACATACCCTGAAACTTGAGAACCTCCGACAAATGTCAGAGCTCTGTGTGATCAGTTACCCAATGTTCCCAAGGTAAAATCTGAAGACCTCTTACCACAGAATCATTTGGAATGCCTATAAAAAATTCAGATTTCTGGGTCTCCTCTTAGCTTTCCTGTATCAGAATTTCTTATATGTGATAAAATTTGAGAAACCCATTTGCTTCATTGTACAGATACAGAAACTGGCCAAGATAGAAGAAGTGACTTGCCCAGGGTTGTCTGTCTAGATTATGGCAGAGTTAGGGTCATACCCAAGTCTCCAGACAAATCTAAACAGTATGCCCCTGTGGTTACCTCTTGAGGGTTGTTTATGCCTCGCTTTATCTCTCATGGCCAAGCTACCCTTAGAATGTCTGGCGCTCAAGAGTAAAAAATGCAAGTGCTCTGGGTAGTTGGATGACAGTAGTTGAAATCTTCTCCAAAGGGTTGTGAAGAACAGCTTGGAAATAAAGTAGTGTAAGGTCATAAAGCTCACTTATAAAGCAGCAAGGTACTTCAGGACCTTCCCCAAATGGAGTTTCAGGGGACTCCAGCACGGAGTATTTTCATGCAGGGAAGCTGTCAACCATGGCTTTTGAGTCAAACTGAACACAAACACCAAAAGGCCTTTAAGAGTTTACTAAACCTATTTTTGCCTTGTTGTTTTTGTAGCTGAAACACATGGCAATCAAGAAAAACTTAAACATATGCAGTTTAATGTCAGACCTGGTCCAAGCTCACTAGTCTGATTCCCCAAACCTGTGCATTTGAGGTTCCAGCTCAGTCTCTGCTTTATCTCCCCAAGACTGAGGTCTGGAACTCCTCCAGACTGACATTCTGTACCCCAGGATCTGCTGGGACAATCTAATAGAAGGTCATTGACCTCTAAAAGGAGAGCAATTTCCAAAATGATAAGGCAAGATAGATTTTCTTTGAGAGATTAAGCAATTGCCATTGACAACAGTGCCATTGTATGATTTGCATTTGGACAAATGCTTATAATTTTGGCAAGTGTTTCACCAATGCTACATAATTAGAAAAATTAAATGCTCTGCCACTTTGAATACATAATTCTATAAAGAAACAGGAGACCTCTACAGATATTCTGGAATTGCTGAGGGTGGAGGGAAAGGGCAGAAGGCAGGAACAAAGAAAGAAAAGTTGTAATCACACTTTTCCAACCAAAAGAAGAATTTGGTAGAGAGGTCCATACCCCTTATCTTCAATTCTGAAATCAAAGAGCTCTGTATAACAGAAGCTATTTTTCATTAATTTGATATCAAATCTGACCTAAACTGACATGAACTTAGTCCTTGTCTCTTTTAGTATGAATATTCAGACATTGTTTCCTGCATTTTTCCTGAATAATTAATGGCTTAGTTATGGGATATTTTCCCAGGAACCACTGGGAGTGTTATATAATAAACAGTACATACATGCTCTGTGTTACCTTTCAAAAACTTTTTAAAAATTAAATTCTAAAACACAGTCAGATAACAGACTGTGGACCTAGCAAAATGATAGCTAACATTTATGAATCACTGACCATCTGAATGAAGCTGTGCTAATCTCTTTTCATCCCATTTAATACTCACAACAACACTGTGAGGAAGGTATTAAAATCACCTCCATTTTAAAGTTTGGAAACTGGTTCCTGGAGAGATTAAGTAATTTTCCAGAGTCACACAACTTTTGGCCAAGCCAAGATTTGGACCCAGGTATTCTGACTCTAGAAACTACAGGCTAAACTCTTGCATTCTACTGTCTGGGAGAGAAGAATAGTTTTGAAGAACAGTGTGGGCTCTTTGTGGACTTTATGAAGAAGTATATGCCACCTATTATTCTATGTCATTTGAGGGCCTCCTACTTCCAAATATGTCCCCTTCCCCATTCTTACTTCTCTGTGATGCTGGAATATGGCTTTATTCCTTGAGGCTCATCTGGATGGCTTTATCACAGGGACCACCAACATCAGAAATCCTCTGGGCAGTTTGTTAAAAGTACAGATTCCTGGTATCCATCCCAGACCTATTGAATTGGCATTGTTGGGGATTGGGACCAAGTTGTTTCTTAGAGACATTAAAGTTTGAGGAAAAAGTGAATGACTTGAGAAAGGCCCATCATTAACCCTCATTAATTAATCAACATCTTACCTCTCAATGACACCTAGCTGGACTGGCAGAAATAAATTCATGGATGGGCACCTGGAAAATGGAAAGGTAGCCTAGAATGGTGAGATATGGAAAGGAAGGAAGAAAGAATATGACAGTATCTCCCTACTTTGGCAATATGTGATGAGGAAAGAGCCTCAACAATGATATTGTTAGCTGCACTGGAACATTCTTGAGAGCATCTCTCTGCCACTCAGAGCACCTATCTGGACAAGATAGTTATCCTCATTAGATGAAAGAGGAAATTGAGACCCAAATGAGTCCTTTAATGTCATCCAACTGATTAATGCCAGTGTTTGGGTAAGTTTCTGGCCCCCAATCTTATATAGTTTCAATCTTCTAGTAATCTCTTCCATAGGTCCAGAGAGGAGGCACCATCAAATAAAACCTAGAGAATCAAGTCTTACATTCAGTGATACACATTTTTGCCCACTAGAGGCCAATTTAAATACAATTAAATGGTATGCTACACTAGGAAAGGGAAATGAGAGGAATTATACTGCAGAATAGTTCAACTGATATGCCATATGTTTGGGGTTTGTTTTGTAACTCTAACAGGTTCCTTTATTCTTGTTATCAATGCAGGGATGACTACTAAACATTTTGATCTTTATACTTTTAAGAATATTCTGTTCTTGTTTACTAAGTTCCCAACTTCACCTTTTCATCTTGCCTATGGTATCTTAAGCATCTCCATGACAACTAAATGTGACCTTAGATAAGGACTAGGAATCTAGAAAAATATGGATTACCACCACAGTAATCAGATCGCTACAGCAATGCGGGCTAAGATTGGGGCCTTGAGGTTCAAGTCCAACCAGTGATTATTCCAATTAGGGCTGCATGCTCTCTAAAAAAGGTTTTCTCCAATTTTAGTGCACATTTGAATCACCTGGCAAATCTGTTTAAGTGGAATACTAATTCAGTAGGTTTGGGGTGGGACCTGAGTTTGCATTTCTAACAGTCTCCCCGGTGATGCTGATGGTGCTTGCTCCCAGATTACATTTTAAGGAGCAGGGAGCATGAACCGTATCATGCTCAAGTAGCATGTACAAATGAGCATATTTATGGTCCTGGAGGAAGTGCTATTTTTAACAACGGTACTGGTGAGCATGCCAGCTCTGATATTAAGTTGTGTGAACTTGGGCAAATATCTACCTTTCTGGGTCTCTGTTTTCTCATTCATGAAATTATGAATTTGGCCTGGATAGTCTCTAAGATTACTTCGGGTTGTAAAATTCTTTGATTCTCTGATTAAAAAAAGAGATATTTTAGAATCAAAGGCTTAGTTCAAGGGCAAATTTCCCCTATATTACAAGGAAAGGGAGTGGGGAGAGAAATCTACTGTGACTTTTGTATTTGTCTTCTTAATTCCAAATCCTCTGTGTCCTAAGGTAATTTATCTCTTCTGAATGTGCAGAACATTGGCATTCTCCATGAGAAGAGGCAACATTAATAGTGGACAACAGTTTTGGCATCTCTCCAATTCAGCTCTCAGTGTTCCCTTGTGACTGCTTCATAGGTAGCAGTTTTGGCTACTTGCTCATGACACTATCTCTCTAATAACAGCGGAAACCCTACTGTCTGCCCATTGGTTTCCAGTACTGGCACTCAATTCTACTTAGTCTCATTTGATTCCAGAAGATACAATGGAGAAGTACACAGACTCACCACCTACCTTGCAAGTAGAGCATTCCTCCCTTCAGACAGAGAATCTGATTCTGCAGCCACAAATACAGCATCTGACTGAAGAGAGTCCTGATCCGAGGGGCCAAGTCATGCCCACCCTGGCCACCCCAACGATGTCTGTACCCTGCTCACTTGAACATCTCTCTCAGTTTCACCATGACCCTGCTAATCTCTCAAGATTTCTTGCACAGTTGGCAACTCTTAAGTTCCCCAATCCTACAGATGATGTCCAAGTCAAGTTCTTTTTTGACTACTTATCTCAGCAGATGGAAAGTTGTGGAATCATATCTGGGCCCAACCAGAGCACTCTGCTGAAACAATATGAGGACTTTGTCCTTGAGTTCCAGCAATCATTTGGAGAGCCTACAAAACAGGAAATAGACCCTCTGAACAAAAAGGACAGCTCCTCCTCTCAGCAGCATGCTTCTACTTTCCAGCTCCTTGCTCAAAATCTGAGCTGTAATGAAACCAATCTGAGTGGCAACTTCCAAGAAGGACTAGCTGACTCCATCCAGGATGAAGTGAGTGGCACAGATATGATGGACAACCTTCCAGACCTGATCACTCAGTGTATTCAGTTGGACAAAAAACAAAGTGACAGGCCAGAGCTTCTTCAGTCAGAGACCCAGCTCCCAATGTTGGCTTCCATGATCCACCCTCAAGCCTTTTCCAGCCCCACAGATCTGCCACCCAAGGAAGAACCTATACAGTTGCGTGGAAGCCAGCCACCTCTCACCCCAGCCAAACGAGCCCTCCAGCAAGAAGCTCAGTTGTGCCTCTACTGCAGCCAGGCTGGTCACTTCACAAGAGATTGCCTTGCCAAACGTTCTCGAGCCCCAGCAAGGATAAATAACCCAACTCACCAGTAAGAGAGGAGGTCACTTTGTAAACTTATATCCCTCTCACCTCCAGCCTTAAAGATTTATATCCTGAATTAACATTTAAAATACAGATGAGGAACTATGATACCACTTCATAGACAGTCATGAACTCATGTGCTTCTGGGAATTTAAAGAACCAGATCTTGTTCATTTGGTGACCTATCACAAAATCAAACCCAACCTGATAATGATGAAAACAATTCACAGGCACTTTCTGCAATTGGAACCAATTCCCCAAGAGTACTGAAAGTCTGTAGGTGAAACTCTGGCTGATCTGAGCCAATGAAAACAACCCTGGAAGTGCACTGGGAACACCATTCCCTCCAATGGGTGAGATCTGGGTTGAGTTTGTTGGCCTAAATCTTCTGTGCCTAAGATTAGGCCCAAGACTTTCACCCTCACCCTTATTGGTCTATATTATAGATCCCTGTTGGTTTAGAACACTTGGTTGAATTCCTAATTGCATTCCATATCCTATCAACATTTTTCTACTGGAGGCTGGAACCTGCTCCACCTATTGACTAGAGTCCAGCTTCAATACAAACCAATCTTCATGGAAACACAACTCTACTACTGTTCCATACAGCTATGTATTTTGTTGCTATTTAAAGACCTCTGCTTGCTCAAAAAAAAAAAAAAAACACAAAAAAACAAAAAAAACAAAAAAACACCTGGATCTCTTAGCTATTGACAAATCAGATGGCATGGCCATTTGAAGACTCTGATTGGAATTGTTGGTCCACTTCCTTGAGAACTAGCCCTTCAGGCACAGACATGTTTTTAACCAAGCCCGACTACTTCCAGGGTACTCTCCTCTTCCTACAACAACTTACTTTAGGTTATAGCATGTATAATGGCCAAGTCAAAATGGTCTAGGATAATGACCTCTGATAAATATTAATGAAAGTTGGGGAAGGAGTTTTCATCATAATTATTATGTCTACAGCATGTACTCCTGCCTTACCTGGCAGATAAGGGAACCTGGTTAAATAAATCTCCACTGAAGACTTAGGGTCAGGCTCTGTAGTAGTTTCTGACTCTAGAGGCCTCAGTGTGATCACCATTTAGGATCACTACCACTGATGTTGAACTCTATACCATTATGGACCACCTCTCAGGATCCTCATCTAGTTGAGAATCTTGAAAAGCAAATAATGGCAGACAACTTTCTGAACCATCCCATCTGACAAATCCTGGGGCATGAACATCAACACCATTGATAAATAAATCTCAAGAAGAAGTGGGGTTTGGTTGCTTGTGTTGTGCTCTTGGCACACAGGCACACACATCAGCTCTGTGTATGGATTTCTAATGCTTCTGAAGAAAAGTAGTGCCATGCTGGAGAGACACAATTTTCTAAAATGTTAAGGATATCCCGTGACAATTGATGCTTGCTAATAGTAATCAGTCCTCTGTTCCCTGCTTCTTAGTGCTGATGTATGTCACCATAATTGATTTCCTGAAGAAAGATCAGTAATTCCCTATTCCCTAGCAGCCATCAAGACTGACAATGAAATGTCATTGTACTTTGGCCTTGTTCCTAGAAAATTATGCTAACTTTGACAGTACTTAAACCCACCTAGGACCTTACCATTTTCATCCTGTAACACTAACAAATAGATCGTTTTTCCCATCAGTACCTTGCTAACCACTGTGCCAATCTTTATTTGCATTCACTAGGGGTCTCCTTTATCACCGGCTTACTATACATCCACCTTACTCCATATGCTGTCACAACAAGGAGACCTGAATGCTCATATTCCAATTGTGCCAAGAAATTCCCACTGTGGTACTGGGATTGTATGAAAGCCTCTAACAAGTAGATCTATTTGAACTTTAAGTGTCTCTGGGATTACCTGGAGGTATCCTGATCTAGCACCCCCAATTCTGTAACAAAAGAGTAACCCAATAGCCTCCAAACACTTTCCTTACTGACCCCAGTATGGTCTTGGGATGCTGATGGGAGCATTCAGTTGGCTTCATCACCAATCTTTCCTTACCTTAGTGACACAATTTATTATTGTATGCTCTCTCACAAAGATGCATCACCTTATTTCCTGTTTGGACCTTCTCTCTACAACAACATCACCTTCTTCTCCAAGAAATCTTCAGATTTCATAGCCTCTCAGAACAGATAACTAATTCTGGGCTATAAAACCTCCCATTTCTAGAAGCTCTTTGTTGAGGAATTCCCAGTCAAGGAATTCTTGTGCTCTATGTGATACAATCCAACAATCATACTGAGCATAGGAATAGGGTACTGGGATAATGCTTTACTGTCTACTAGCTAGCAACGATTTTGTTTACCACTTAAAAATTTTGTTATAATGACACCATCCATTTCAAATAGAATAAACTCATTATTTAGCATAGAGTTACACAGATGTTTTTCTCAGAACTTATACCAAAGTGAACTTCCCTGAGAGTGAAGCTAATTAAAGTCTACTGAGAACCGATGAGATGTAACCTACTTGATCATGTAGTCTGCAACTACAAAGACTTGGGGAGTCCTCAAGTCCAAACAAGATTGTAGTTTTAGGGAGGCAGATCTGCTACATGATTGATGCCATCCAGCAAGATAAGATCGAATCATTTTATGATAAGTCTGAAGAAGGAATTGTTAACAAGAGAATGTTCTTTAGGGAGTCTAGAAGAGGGGGCAATTAAAGAGGCATAGGGCGTTGATAATCTTTCTAGACTCAGAGAGGGGATGTTGACCAACATGATTTGGCAGGTCTATATACAGTGGGGTGGAAGCACCAGGCCATCCCAATTTGTGTTATTAGCCATTAAGATTACCACCTAACTCCCCTTGCTGAGATCCTATGTGTTAAGAAGTAATCTGATTGTAATTATGTTCCCATATAAACTTTGTTATGGGGAGAAAATTTGCTTATCAGCTGACATGAGTATTCTAGCCTATTCAGCAGTTAATTCTCATTATAAATAAATAAATTGGTTTTGGCTTATACATCAGTCTTTTTGTGGGTTTTAATAGCGTCAATCCTCCAGATCCAAATCACTGCTGAGTGCACTGGAAAAACAAATAAGATTCTCACAATGCAAAGTCAGTACCACAGTGTGAACCATAGTGAGTCCACTCAAGATTGGCCTCCCTGGGAACGTTACATCAACAGTCATCCTCCTTTTTTATGTCTCTCATTTGTCTACAGCTGTAATAAAATTCTGAAAGGTCAATGTTTTTTAATTCCTGCACTTACCTCCGTTCACACCCAGAACCATGATATCTGCCATAAGTAATTACTTCTTATAATACTACACAGTTCAGTCTAACCATTAGAATATATCATCATGGATGAAGACATGACACATGACTATAGACATGAGCCTCTGACAAGCACCTTTGAAGAGGGAAGCCTGTATAATTGTCCTAACTTTCACCACCTCTATTCTGTCCAAATGGCAGCACATGGGACCCATGCCGTCACTGCCTTTACCTCTATCCAGGATGGTAAAACAGATATCACCCTTTTCTGGACTCTGGAATATCTTTTCCACCCAGCACCATCTAGCCTATGACCACAATAGTCATCCCTGAAACAAAATAGAGCATTTAGGATATACCAGCATCTTGGCAAAATCTAACACCCTTGGGAGAGCTCTGGGAGTTTAAGTCATATCTGTAAAGCCTTCTACATTAGTGGGTATGTTTTTGCCTCCCTATGAAGCTTAGGTCTCACTTGGCCAAGAGAATGGAAAAACCTTCAAGGGAGTATAGTGTCATGGGTCCTTAATATCATCTTCATGCAAGATTCACTGTCCACATTTTAAAAACAAAAGTCCCAGAAGTGAGTTACACTATTTAGTAGAGTCAGTAGAAAGATCTTGGTACCTAGACTATGCTGTCCAGTCATTGTTTGCCACTATAACTTTGAGAATTAATGCACTAAATTATCCATATTACTTCCTGGTATTGGTTTTGACTCTTGAGTTTACTTGAACCTGCTTCCTGCATACTGATTTCTAGTACATATCTAACATGGCACTAGTTCTCTTATTGGTCCAGTTCAGTGATAAGCCTAGTTGTGACTGTATTCCACTAACCCCATTTGCTTCATAGTAACCCAGTAGAGAACCATGTAGAATTTCAGTTTTCCCTATGAATGGAAGACTCATCCCTTGGGCATAAAGTCTAGTTTTGTGTGCATCTAAAGAAAGAGAACTAATAGTTGGTGAATGCCTACTTTATGCCAGGCCCTGTGCTGAGTGCTTTAATTTGTTAATGATACTCAAGTTCACATTACTAAAACATGGAATATCCATTTCTGGCATTTAGTACTCACCACACCTTTTTAAGATCAGTGTTATAAATTTGATTTAAAGATAGTGGGCCCTCATGCATTCTTCCATATAAACCAATAATCTCCCCAGCTTGCCCTTTCTAAATCTTCTCCAGCTCTACTCTGTGTTTAGTGAAGGACACTCATTACAAATGTATGCAGAATTCCAGGTGTGGACACAAAATAAATTTGAACAAGATAACCTTTTTAAAATTACTGATTGTTTTAAAATGGCATCCAGTAATTCTGGGGAGTTTTTGGGTTTCATCAGTATCTTGAGAGAAGAGTCATTGTGGACCCTTTCCTGAAAGCTGTAATTCTCTTTCCTAAATTGTAGTTGATGACACAAATCCCACTACTCTAAAAATATAGTTGGAATGTTTTAATAAATATGTATCCTTAAAACAACACTGAAGTTTATCTTTCTTCCCTCTCACAAGGTTTTCCTACACTTTTCCCCCAATTATTCATAATAATAATAATAATAATAATAATAACAGCTACAATTTACTGATCACTTACTACACATGTGCCAGGCATTATACTCTGATTTATGTGCATATTCTCTTTTAATTCTCACAATGACTCTCTTAGATATCTCTTATTATTATTTCTATTATGCAGATGAGGAAATTGAGGTTTAAAGTAGTTAAGGAAATTATCCATGAACACAGAACTAGTGAGTAA